TTGGCTGGCCTGCCTTGGCCGTGGCATGGCATGCTGCTGGCCTAGGCCATGGTTTCTGTTTAAAAACCAACGTAAACTTATTTTTGAGTTTTCAATTTTTCCTCAAATTTACAAACTAAGACAACCATTTATAAACTAAAAAAGTTATCAAACAAATTTTTATGACAGTTTTTAAAATTTTTGTAAATATAAACTAAAAACGAAATGGTTACTAAACGGGCCATTGTGTTTTGGGTTTTTGTTTTCAAAAATACGAATAACAAAAACATATATGGGTTTGTACCTCAAAGGTGATTATAGTTGTGCAGAAGAAATCTGATTCTATGGTGACTAAAGCTGATCTAGAAGTCCCTAGTTGACACTCATTCTTGTCTTTATCAGAAGCTTTATCATTCCAAGTGGCATTTGTTTCAGGAGTTCGATTTTCATCTCCAATCAATGAAATGTAAGGCTTGGAGTTTGGAACAAACATCTTTTCTCTACATCGGAATTTCATTAAAGTATTCTTAGTTCTTTAAATGTATGTAGGAACACGAGAATCTATGATGATGGACTGCAAAGTATGGACACTTCAAAATTGGTGTCGTGGTGGTGTCCGACATGCGGACCCGCCGGGGACACGGGGACATGTACGAGACACGCCAGATGGCGTGTCCCTTCTTTAATTTAATGATTTTTTTGTAGGGGACACAACGGGGCGCCCTTTTTTTTTTTTTTTTCTTCTTTCTTTTGCCTCTCTTATTTAGTTCTTTTGTGAAGAATATTGTTGAATATTGAATGTTTTCCCCTTCTCGTCTTAGTTCTTATCGTTTATTATGACTTTTTTGTGAATAGATGATTTATTAATTTGTTTAAATGTAGTGGTTATATTTAATGAATTAATGTTACTATGTTAGTGCTTGTTTATTTTGATTTAGGATGAATGTAATATGAATCTACATAACACATAAAAATATATAAAAAATAATTTTAAAAAAAATGTCAAACATGCCAAGCAAAAAAAATTGCAAAAATAACTTCAAATTTGGCAGTCCACGTTTCCGAAATTCACATCTTTCTCATTATGTACAGACAAGGATGTTGAATGCACGATTCTGGATTCTCGAGGGTGTCTATGTTTTAAGTCAAATCAAAAAGATTCAGACGAGTTGACTCCGCAGATTAGAATTTGGAACTCTTGCAGTGTACAGCTTTTGTGCCATGCAGCTTCTAGGATGAAAGAACATGTAAAAGTGCGAACTAAAAAAGATAACGGTTCCAATAATCGCTAGCTTACTATCATTGAATAGATAAAATCCAGCTTCGGATACAGCAAAAAGACACCTCTTCCCCAAATCAAACAAAATAGTACCAGAACGATACAAGTACCCTTCAAAAAACTCAACAATAACAACAGCCGGTAAAACCATTACAAATACGACACTACAAAGTTCCTCAAGGGCAGGCATTAAAACCCGCAAGTTAGAGTCGAAATTGACCAAGCCTAAAAAATGCAGAACAATGAAAAATGACGGCAATGCAATGAAAATTCCCCTTGTGCCTAGAAATGAATGAGGAGAACAATATTGCATATGCCAAAAATTTTGGGGGAAAAATGAATAACTACTACTATTTAACTTCTACGCCCACAATACTGGCAAACTATTGATAATCTCACAGTACAACCGCAACCTTCTCTTGGGAAATGAGTGTTGAAGGATGAGCAACAAGGGGCTCATAATGATCTCCTCCAGCACCACACCAACCTGTAAGTAAGAAGGTTTAAGCACACAATTTGAGGATGGATGAGAGAGTGAGACTGAAGCAGTTAAACTACACGAGCATGCGCCCGTTTAAAAAAAAAAAGGAAAAAAAAAAAGCCTGTGAGGTTGACAAAGAAGTTCTATTACCTGTTCCTTTCATGAAGAGAAAGAAGGGAGGTTGACAAATTTCACTCCTTGGATGATGTGGGAGGAAAAAAACACAATTTTCTTCATCAACCATTGCATCTGACCCATGTGCTTGCACCTGTAATTGATTTTATGCAGAAAGAAACAGAACATTTATCAAGAAAAGAACCTCCGGAATCGCAGTATTGAGGAGTAGAAAACTGGATATGAAAAGAAAAAACTCGTAGTGTATTGCCAACCATGTAATTTCAGTACCTATAACTTTATAACTTCAACCTAGCTCATCTCACATTAGTAATAATGGCCCCACATAAAGCACAAGGCTTAGGATGCTTCAAAAGGACACAATATGTCCGTTGTTGAAAGGGGGAAGAGGAAGCAATCACAAAGCAAGCCTCCTGTTATGTCTCAACAATTACTCGGTTGCTCTATCTATCATTATATAAAAATGTTACTATAACCACGACCAAGGACAATTTGCTTTATGTGGGGCCATGACAATTTTCATCCAACACTAATTGAAGTTTCCCACTCTTCAAGATCTTAATTAATTGTTAATTCAGGTAATATGCAGGTAAGCAAGCACAAGTCAACAACTTTCTTCATTTCATTTTCACAAATTTCTCAGAGTACCATCAGTGCAAATTCCCAAATTAATAACACAATAGTAAAAAGTTTGAGAACCCTAAAATCTCACCACTAAATTTGCCCGAACGATATCGAGATGTTTACAACTTACATGTCAATTGTTGATTCGTGTAGGAATCAAATTCCTATAAACACAACCTCTACCACGTTGTGGTGGGTAAATTTATGAGTGATGTTTTAGGGGTCTGTAGCAAGACTCAACTTTGACAATCATGCAAGTGGACTTAATGGATGGAACCAAAATCATGCAAGTGGACTTAATGGATGGAACCAAAATCATGCAAGTGGACTTAATGGATGGAACCAAAATCATGCAAGTGGACTTAATGGATGGAACCAAAATCATGCAAGTGGACTTAATGGATGGAACCAAAATCATGCAAGTGGACTTAATGGATGGAACCAAAATCATGCAAGTGGACTTAATGGATGGAACCAAAATCATGCAAGTGGACTTAATGGATGGAACCAAAATCATGCAAGTGGACTTAATGGATGGAACCAAAATCATGCAAGTGGACTTAATGGATGGAACCAAAATCATGCAAGTGGACTTAATGGATGGAACCAAAATCATGCAAGTGGACTTAATGGATGGAACCAAAATCATGCAAGTGGACTTAATGGATGGAACCAAAATCATGCAAGTGGACTTAATGGATGGAACCAAAATCATGCAAGTGGACTTAATGGATGGAACCAAAATCATGCAAGTGGACTTAATGGATGGAACCAAAATCATGCAAGTGGACTTAATGGATGGAACCAAAATCATGCAAGTGGACTTAATGGATGGAACCAAAATCATGCAAGTGGACTTAATGGATGGAACCAAAATCATGCAAGTGGACTTAATGGATGGAACCAAAATCATGCAAGTGGACTTAATGGATGGAACCAAAATCATGCAAGTGGACTTAATGGATGGAACCAAAATCATGCAAGTGGACTTAATGGATGGAACCAAAATCATGCAAGTGGACTTAATGGATGGAACCAAAATCATGCAAGTGGACTTAATGGATGGAACCAAAATCATGCAAGTGGACTTAATGGATGGAACCAAAATCATGCAAGTGGACTTAATGGATGGAACCAAAGACCGAAACTCTATAGTGACAAAATCAGCATGCAAGTTAAGAAGATATTCAATCATTTTCCATACAAGAGTAAGAGTCAAGAAACTTGAAACTATCAGAGATCAATCAGATTGTATTAAAAAAGGAAGAGAGCAACAGGTACAATAAAAGGGACCGAATTGTCTTCTTACCACATATATCTCTCTTTTGAACTCAGTTGCAAGACACTCTATTGCTAAATCATCTCCAAATGCAGCAGCATGACCTTCTCTATTCTCATCTACAGTTAATAAACCTTCCACAGTATATTGCAAAGTGATGATATCATGTTCATCATCAGGAGAACCAGAGATTGACATGTACTTGGCCCAACTCGGGCCGTCATCCACAGCAATACATCTCTCTTTGTAAATAGACTCCGCGGCAAACTCTCTTCAATCAGAAAAGAAAAATCAAAATACAAACTAACAAACATATAATACTACAAACCACAACAATCTACAAATTTGATTCTAATAAATAGAACTCATACCTATCAAACAACATCTAGTAACAAATTTATCACTAGTTTTTTCAAATAAAAACATAAATACAGCATTCACATATTTGTGAATTTATTTATGTATGCACTGTTCCATTTGAAAAACAAAAGTAATCAAAAGTTTTATTAAGAAGAAAAACCCACTGTGAAATATGTACAAAGAATGGCTATATAACCAACCAGATAAAATTAAGGATATGGCTTCTGTCCAGTCCGGGATCGGATTGGACCGTGCTGTTGGGCCTATGGGGCCCATCACGGGTCCCGTTTTGATAATCCGAACCGTTTAATGTGTAGAACTCGTCGAGTACTATATGCTTATAAAAAATCACATTGATCGGATATCGATAGCTATATGATCAAATTAGTTTCGTATTAAAAAAATTGGTCGGTGAACAAATTAACGGTTGACAAAAAAATGTTTTGATCACATACCTATCGATATCCGATCAACATGATTTTTTACAGGCATATAATACTCAACGAGTTTTACACATTGAACAGTTCAGCTTATCAAAAAGGGACCCGTGGTAGACCTCCATGGGCCCAACAGCACGGACTGGCCAGAAGCCATACCCTAAAATTAATTGTAGTAATGTAAATAAATTCCAAGGGTAAAAATAAAAAAAATAAATAAAAAAAAGCCATGCGAATCAACCCAAACCAAACTAGACACCAAGGATCCTCTCTAGAGTGAAATTTCCTTAAAGTTTCCTAAAGTCCTACATTGTGTGGTTGAGATTTACTTGCCACACAATGTAACACTCTAGGAAACTTTAAGAAAAAATCGCTCTAGAGGATCCTTGCTCCAAACTAGACCTCGTGTCCCAATCAGGTAGGTTGATTACATTATAAATAAATAAATCATTCTGCCCTGTCACTGACTATATGCAAGCTCCCGACCCTGTTTGGTTGCTGAGAAAACGAAGGGAAAAAAATGAAAACCGGTTTCAAGATTAACAAAGATATACAGCATAGTGGTATTGCACTCCACTCATTCAAATGGAATTTTTTTGGCATTCTTGATCCAAACAACGAAGAATGAAACAGCTCAATATGTAATAAACATGTTCTTCTAATTTTCCTATATTTCCACAAAAATCAAACAGAAGTAAAATAAATAAAAAGAAAACACACATTCAAACAATCAAAAGCGAGAAACGTTTATTCAATGAAAACAGATCTACAAAGAAGCAAGAAATTCACCTTTGCATTCCAAGAAGAAGAAGCTCGTTGATAGATGAATCCAAACCCTCCCGATCTTCCTTCTTAGCCAATAACTTGACCTCCTGAACCACATGTATACCCCAACCAGACTTTAGATCCGGAGAGTACATATGCCTTATCGCATCATCAATCGCATTTCTCTCCTCACCGCTCACAAAAGATCCAAGATCTTCCATAAATCTCTTCACCGTCCTCCGCCGTAGATCTCCGGCATCCATGATCTCCGCCGTCGATGATTTCATCATCGCCTTTTGAGACGCCGTGAAGAGGCAATTCCCGTCGGCCTTGACTTCTCCGCCGTGACTCAGCCGGAACACCACCGCCGAGGAAGGATCGCCTGGGTGCTTCCACAGGACTCCCTTAGCGTAGAGCCCCCGTAGATGGCGCTTTTGTTGGTCTTCCAAGCCGGACACGTTTTCCCAGGCGGTGGTGGTGATCTGGTCAGTGAGATCGACGGTCTCGATGCTATCTATTGATGGAGCTGAAGTTGGGTCCCTCCATGGGATGATCTGTGACGACGTCGTCGAGTCGCATATAAGTTTTCCCATTTTTTTTTTTTTTAATTTTTTCTTGAGTTCTCTCTTCTCTTCTTCAACGGAAGAGTTGCAGAAGAGAGAGAGAGAGAGAGAGAGAGAATAGGGTTAACGGATGGATCAACAACGCGGGGAGGGGTGAGACACGTGGCGATATCTGGGATATTTAAGCGTTGAAGGAGATTCTGACCGTGGCGAGTGATGCTAACGTAAGCCGGATGGGACCATGGTTGGTGAATCTGAGCCAGATATGTTGATTCCAGCTGGCGATATGTGATTGGTTGAAATTGTAACGTTCTGGGTGGTGTTCGAGGAGTCTTCATTTTCATGTATGGCAGGACCGGGCTCCCTCCGATTACGGATCCTCTCCGATTACGGATCCTTTGTAATGAAATTTTTTTAAAATTTTTTAGAGTGTTACATTGTATGGTTGAGATTTATTAACAATTTTATTGATGTGACTTGTCAATGAATCTCAACCACACAATATAACACTCTAAAAAATTTTAAGAAAAAATCGCTCTAGAGAATTCTTGCTCCCTCCGATCCCCTGCTATGTGAAGAATTGGTGAGCAAGCTGATTTGGAAGCAAGAATTGGTGAGCAAGCTGATTTGGAAGCACGTATGAATCTGTTAAATTATTGAAGGTTGTTAAATTCGTTAAGGCCTCCTTTCTATTCTTAAAATTAAAAAAAATAAAATAAAAAATTGGATATCAAATACATCAAAATATATATATATATATATATATATTAAATTATTCATCACACAACAATTTTTTCTTAAAGTCAATTTTTTTTAAATATATAACAAGTTCAAAACCAAAATGTCAAAAAATTAATTTATTACAACTACAAATTATCAAAAAAAGTCAAAATTGCAATAGCATAAACATAATGACTTAATGAAAAAAGTGTCCAATAATATAATTTATTTTTTTAATTCATAAACTAACTTCTAAATTGTAATTAAAGGAGTTTCAAAGTGATATTTGATTGTCGGATAAAATTAAATAAGATTATAAATATAATAAGATTGAATGATAAGATTACTATACGATAACATTAAAGCATAACATTGTAATTATTTTGTTCTTTACATACACATTAACAAGGTAATAAGATAAATTAATGATTTGGATGCTGTCAAGCGTATTCTTTAAGAATCTGGAATATTCTAAAACGTATATTAATGGATTTACTTTCTTAAAAAACCCAGAATATCTTTATGGCTATTCATGTTTCAAATGTGTACATTTTGAATAGTTAAAAAAAAAATTAAAAAAAATAGCACGATCAAATTAACACAATTCATAACAAGAATGTCAGTTTTCAATCCCAAAATCAAATTCCATTTGTCCACCTCATATTATTCACATGGTGAAAGAATTTTATATCTACATCACTAACTACTAATTAAGCACCACCGGTGTTCGCTTGACAATCACTGCATGTTTTCCGGCCCATTTGTTTGTTTATTTTCCTTTAATAATCAGGTATTTAGATCAACTTGTGTACTTGTTGATATTCTAAACATGTTTTTTCAGCTCAAACACTCATTTTTCACAGTCACTTGTGAATTTTTCATATTTGTCTCTACAGTGAGTGATGACAATCAAATTTGTATGGTTTCAAGATAAGATGAGTTTTTGGGATGGCGGTGTGGTACTGGCCAAAAACCCTTTGATGCATTTATTAGAGCAGCGCTGATTGAGGGCCCGAGACTTCGGGGCTCGAATGCCCCGAAATGCCATTTTAGGTATAAAAAAAAAAAAAAAAAAAGGAAAAAAAAAAGAAAGGAAAAAAGAAAGAAAAAAAAAAACAGTTTCCAAAAATGGAAATTAGGGGTATTAGGGCCAACTTTTTTAGGGCCACCAATCATTTTTCTTATTAGAGATGTAGATGTAGACAGTAAAAGTGGAGAAAGAGTAGATAGAAAGAGTTTAGGATTCATGGTCCATGTATGGATCTTTCATAAAAGGTCTTTGTCTTAAACCATTAGTGGTGGTAGGCCTCATTTTCACTAGGCCATGCGCTCTATGAGTTGATCTATCAAACCCGGACCTTATCTTGTTGTTGTGTACATGTATGTATATATATATATCAGTGGAACATAGATAGGCATTGTGTACATATATATATATTTAGCATTTCTTCATAAATATTTTAGGACAGAGGAACATAGATCCCATGTCTTCCAACCAATTATAAAAGCAAAGAGGGACACAGGTAGGCATGTGAAATGGGCCAAATGGTTCTGATTTCTCCTGGGTTGTGTTTGTTGAGCCAGTTCCTACCAGATCATGGTTCGAATTAGTCAATTTCTAAAATTCCCAACCTAACCCCATCCCTAATCCTTGGTATTTCAAGCTTAAACTGTACCGGGCCTTTTTTTATCTGAGGCTGTGCACTCACTGGGCTAGGCCAAATTTACATTGCTAAACAGAGGCTTGGGCCTTGGCCTAGGATGAAATTGTGCTTGCCTCAGTGTTGAAGTTAAATTTTAGGGAAAATTGACCTAAGGTTCCTCCTCTACTTTTGATAGGAGGAGAGGTCCAAAATAATATGTTTTGATAGCTAAAGTCCCTCAAATTTATTTTAGGTTGTAAAGTACCTAAATTACCCTTCCTTTATAACATAAATTTGTTTGAATATTATATTGTTGACTTAACTGATAGATTTTGGAAACCGAATTTGCAGTGGAGATTTCGTCGGAGTTTTCGTCGGAGATTTCAGTGGAGATTTCATGGTGGAGATTTCGTCGGAGATTTCAGTGGAGTTGATGAGAAAGATTGCTACGATCGTGTAGATTTCGTTGGAGATTTCGTCGGAGATTTCGTCGGAGATTTCAGTGGTGTTACAGTGTGTTGATCGCGTAGATTTTCAGTAGAGTTGAATCAGGTTTGTTTTCGATGAAGATACCATATGCATTTTGATTTTTGTTTTAAATTTTTGTTTAGAGAGAGACCAGCTTGATAGAGTTGATTTTTATTTTTGGAATTAATTTTTTATTATTTGTTTTTTAATCAATTTCAAAGAGTGTTGACAGTGTGTTGATCGCGTAGGTTTTTGAATGGAGTTGAATCAGGTTTGTTTTCGATTTAGATTCCACATGGATTTTGATTTTTGTTTTGAGTTTTTGTTTAGAGAGAGGCCAACTTGATAGAGTTGATTTTTATTTTTGGAATTAATTTTTCATTCTTTGTTTTTTGATCACTTTCAAATAGTGTTGACAGTGTAGGTGATTTTGATGTTTAGAGTTCAATTTTCGTGTTCTGTTTTTTATCAACATGCTGATCAATGATAAGTTTTGTTCTATGTTTTTTCAAACTAGAGAAATTTCATTTTCTGCACTTTTGTTTGTGTAGTCCAGAGGAAATTATAAGTGCATATGGACATATTATTAGAAGTTTCTAATGCAGATAGAATATGAGAAAGTGAATGTAAGTTCATAAATTTCTCTGGACTTGTATTTGTAGTTCAGAGAAAATTGTAAGTTTGTTACTCACTTTCAGTTTGTAGTTCAGAGGAAATTATATGTTTGTAGAAGATGAATATAAGTTTTTGTTTCTCTAAGCAAAAGTTATATTTTGTGTTTTTTCTTTCAGTTTAGATGGACAATGCAGTGTTTTTTGTTATCTTGAAGGTGTATATAAGTTTGTAAATTTCTCTGGATTTTTCTATGAGTGCAATATTACAGAATGACGCATTCAAAATTGTTAGCTTGTAGTGAAGTGAAAATCATGGAGAAGCCTATAATTTCATAACATATATTCTGTGTGATTTTTTTCTATGATTGTGTTTAATAGTTAGCAGTAAATTTCTCTGTGATTCATTAAGTTTTTGTGATTTTGTTTTTTTATCATCTTGAAAGTGAATATCAGTTTGTAGATGTCTTTGGACTTTTATTTTAAGTTCAGAGAAAATTATAATTTTTAGAAATTTCTCTGGACTTTTATATTGTTCTTGTGAAGTGTTTCTATGTTAAACAAATTATTTTTCTTGTTTTTTGTTTCAGTTTCAATGGACAGTGCAATGTTGTTGCTGTGCAAATATGGGAATGATACTATTGTCATTAATGTTTCATGCGAATTGAATTTTGAGGAATTGGTTGGCATTTTGTGTAAAACATGGGAGAATTTGAAACATGAGACTATGTGTATTTCATATTCTATTTTGGGCCATCCGAATTGTATGGTTCGAAATAATATTGATTTTCTGAATATGTTGAGGGTTGTTTGTGCACGCGGTGTTGATATAGTTGATGTTTCAGTTAGTAGATGTAGTACTTCTGATGACGATGTTTCGAGGCTCGCATATTGGGTAGATGTTGTGGATGGTGAGATCTACTCGGTATCTCATAGTCCTGGATGATGTGTGGACAACTGAAGTCTGGGATAGACTGTTAAAAGAATTGGCTCTGCTCCAACGCATGTATAAGGATACGCGAGCAGAGATAAGCGTGCTAAGGGCAGAAAACAAGGAAACACGTGGCGATATCTGGGATATTTAAGCGTTGAAGGAATTCTGACCGTGGCGAGTGATGCTAACGTAAGCCGGATGGGACCATGGTTGGTGAATCTGAGCCAGATATGTTGATTCCAGCTGGCGATATGTGATTGGTTGAAATTGTAACGTTCTGGGTGGTGTTCGAGGAGTCTTCATTTTCATGTATGGCAGGACCGGGCTCCCTCCGATTACGGATCCTCTCCGATTACGGATCCTTTGTATGAAATTTTTTTAAAATTTTTTTAGAGTGTTACATTGTATGGTTGAGATTTATTACTTTCATTGATGTGACTTGTCAATGAATCTCCACCACACAATATAACACTCTAAAAAATTTTTAAAAAAAATCGCTCTAGAGAAATTCTTGCTCCCTCCGATCCCCTGCTATGTGAAGAATGTGGCGCTGATGAGCAAGTTGGTGAGCAAGCTGATTTGGAAGCACGTATGAATCTGTTAAATTATTGAAGGTTGTTAAATTCGTTAAGGCCTCCTTTCTATTCTTAAAATTAAAAAAAATAAAATAAAAAATTGGATATCAAATACCTCAAAAATATATATATATATATATATATTAAATTATTCATCACACAACAATTTTTTTCTTAAAGTCAATTTTTTTTAAATATATAACAAG